CACCTATCCATCACACCTAGGAATTTAACAGCTTTCACATCTCTTCACTTGGAAGACTGATATTTTGTCTGTACTTTTTCTCTAATGAGAATTGAAAGAATGGTGTGAGAGATTTTGATTGCATGTGCCTTTGGCTTTTATAATTTCATTTTGAATTGTTAACATTACAAATAAATTACATACTTATAACTGTGTACATATACTAATGCCTGTGCATTGGTTTTATAAATGGTTTACATTGCACAGTAAAAGAAAGTCCCATATTTCAGTACACTTAACATTTCCACTCTCTTGGCCCTCCATATTACTAGATGCTGATCATGGCTCTTAAACACTGCCATAATATATCTTTGAGGACTCTTCTAAAAACAGGTTACAGAAGATGTCTGATAATTATCATTGTTTCTAACAACAATGGTTGTCTTTCATTGATGAATCTGTCAGATGAAAGGCTAGAATGGGTGACATCAGGGTGTATGCTAACTTGTATGACTAATGGTGCACGTGTAATTTAAACTGCCCATAGAAAATAACATTTCACTAACCACAAACATTCACTATTTGCTAATTACAACTAGCAGGTTCTTAGCATGCTGATGTTTTTAATTAGAGCTAATACACTAGGAATTTACTTTTTTTTTTTTAAATGTTTCGAAGTTAGACAGTGCCCTCTACTGGACATAGGCTCCCATAGCAGTAGTTTGCAAAGTGCCCCAAAGGTTGCCAACTAGAGAAAATGGACACAAAACCAGTTTGTTGCTCTGCTGAAGTGATTTGTTGGTTTCAAGGAAGTACACTTTGTTGTGGTCTCTCCTTGCATTCTGCTCTACTTGAAAGCATACTGCATAACAAAGATTGTTCTCAGTTTAGATGGCAAAGAGCTTTTGGTTAATTTATCTTGAACCCAGTTGGCTAGAGCTGACAGTGCAGCAAGCCACCAGAACATGTAGTGCTATATATTCCAGTTTTTACAAAAATCATCTCAGTACAGTAAGACCATATTTGTCTTCAAAAATAGAGGTGATGGAGAAATATGCAGTTGAAGTTTACTTTTTACGTGTTCTCTTACATGTTTTTATTGTATTACTTCACAGTAAAAAATTATAACTATACTGAGAAGTCAAAAGTGCCATTTTTCTCTTTATCTTTTCTTGAGGATGTTGGTTTTTTGGTTTGTTTTGTTTTTTTTTTTTTTTGAGGGTATGTTAATAAAAATCCCAATGCTATCAGTTTCACTTAATAATTTTAATCTCATGCCTTTGGACTTTTCCAGGGTCCATAAAAAAAGAAGTTTACCCAGGACCTAACTTGAGACAGAACATTCTCAAGAATTTACAACATCTCACAGTAAAGGGGACAGAGAGAGAGAGATGAATTTCCCTAGTAGTTAATTTAAAACGTGTATTTAAATTCCTACAAAGATAGACTATAAAACTGTAATCATCTAGCATTTACAGGAAAATTTAAATTAATGGCATAGAAAGCATTACATATCCATTCATCAAACTTTTACAGTTTTCAAATCACTTCTATAGTTTTTCTCAGCACAGAAAATACACGGAGAGATTTAGGGTTTAGGGTTAACTGTGAGTGATTTCTATTAATTGGCTGACAGGTTGTTTTGTACATTAGCTTAAACATGAAGAAAAGTAGCTTTTTCATTTATTTACCTAAATTTTGCATGCTTTCTAAAAATATGCAGACTTCTTCAAAACAGACTGCCCATGCAGAACAGCCACTCTGTGCCAAACTCAACATCCTCTGACCGCTCACTTCAAAGGTGCACTTCCAGGCAAAAATGCAGCCCATCCTACAGCATACACTCAATCACATGAGGGCAGCTCTGGAGCAGAGATCAAGACGTGCTCCCAAAATACTCTGTACACTCATAATATTGCCCTTCAGTCAGCCTTTGCCCATTACTTACATGTGCCTGCAGCTGTGAGCATCTCTGCTCCACCAAGTGAGCTCCACTCCCCTCTGCAAAAAGCTGTGAGCTCTGGAGTAACAGACCTCCTCATTAATGGTCACAGTTGGTCATTAGCTGGTCACTGAATCTTTCTTGATGACCTGCTAATGAACTTCCCACTGATTTACTGTGAAGATTGGTCAAGGTAGACAGTATAGGTAATTTATAGCTGAACAACCGGCATGCTAATGGCCTTTGCTCAGCGACTGTAATCAACACAGTACAACTAAGAGGCATTACATCCTTCCTAATATATTTCTCAGGTGTAAATATTTCATGTTGAATGGAAACTTTGGATTCTGTGTTTAAAGATATGTTTACATATTGTATTTAAGGGGGAAATTCCTTTAAGAATTTAATGATGAAAAAAGACTTAATCTTACAAACTCTTATTTTCTAACATTTTTTGCTCTTAACAAAATATGTTTATTTTTAAAAAGCAAACATATCTATGTAAATATTCACCTGTAAAAGGCTTAGAGGCCTTCACAGTGTAAAAATCATCTCTCAGTGGGTGCCTGTTAGCTGCAAGAGCCTGGAGAGCTTTGACAGTTCAGCACCTGTGGTGCCTCATCTCTGTGAATCATGGATAAGTTGGCCAGAATCTACAGTCCCTCCTGCTGTGATCTTGCCAGCTCTTAAAAGCTAAAAAGTTTCAACTGGGCCTTGACTTAGTGGGAAAGCTCCAGAAAAAGCCCAAGAAGTGCCAGTGATGCATTAGGTAGCACTCTTTCCTCTAAGACTGGTAGATAATGTCATAGGGGTTATCTAATTATCACAGGACCCTGCTTTTGCTTTGGATGTGCAGGTACATTGTCCTGTTTTGAGAGTGATCAGAGTCCACCAATGCTGTAGTTACTAGGCATTTCACAGCCCTGAACATGTGCTAGACTGGATGACTGTGGCCCAGATATTCATAATCCTTTAAGGTTTAGTATTTTCATTTTTTCACATGTTCTTGTATCATAATTATAATGCAAAACAAAATAACCAAAAAGTTAGTTATCTGCTATGCAACTGCTATAAGAAATTGGGTTTGCATCTCTTAAAATGTCCTTGGCACAACCAGGAAGCTTATCATGTTCCATTACAGGTTTTCGTGTCCTTGACCCCCATTAAGTAGTGTCCCAATGCTCATCTTATTCCCTGCAAATGGCTTCAAGATTGTAAAAATCTTTCTCTCCAGTGCTTCCAAATGGCACTTCTTGAGCTGTGTAGAGATTGAGGAAGTAAGTTTCCAGGGAAGTGTCCTGACCATTGTTCCCTGGGGTGTGGAAACAAGAGCTGTGGTTGTCTTTAGAAAGACAGTTTTTGCCCTCTCGCTGAAGATCTTCATCTTACATTTGGTAACTTTGCTGTAAATGAGATGAGATTATCTAAATCTCTCATCAGTCAGAGATTTGATTTCATACCTTTTGATTATGAATGAGACCCTCCTCTCCATCCCCATTTCAAGTTCTGGGATACTCCTGTCTCCTTAGCAGGCATTGCTGGCAAAGGGTATGTCACCAATCAAAAGTTCATGTAGTGACTAAGAGCAACTCAGTTCCTGAACAGCTTGTGAAAGCAACATAGATGGTACTTACCTTGATGTTGCATATTTTGATTACAAACATTTGATTCCACACCTTTTATGGCGTGGATGTGAGAGTTCAAGCCAGGTAGAGGAGTCAGATGTTTTTACAGAAAACCACAAGTCATTTCAGATAAATAAGACATTTATTTAATAATTAATCTTCTTGTTATACAGCATCCTGCATTTGTAGCCGTACTAAAAAGTAAATAAGATGTTCAAATATTAATGTTTGAGAAGGACCACATCCTGACCCAAAGCAGTGTATTTTTAAGGAAATTGATTGAACCCAGATGGACTTCTTATGGCATCTCAGTACGGAATGAAGTAGTGTTAACGATGCATCTTTTTTTTTTTTTTTTTTTCCAGGAGCTGTGGTCAGTCAGGTTTCAAATCTTAAGATCAAAAATTGAAAGTGTGAATAAAATATGAGTTTGGTCTCAGCAGTAATATAAACTCCATGAAAATATTCTCCTCAGGGGGGAAAAAACAGTCCTTAAATCACAACACTTCTTTAAATCATTGTGTAATTATCCACTAAAGAAATGCACATAGTAGCTTAGAAGGGTTGGTGCATGTTGAGACAAACATCTTTACAGCAGTAAATGACAGATCTTTAATTATGTGGCTGCCCACAGTACAGCTAGTTTTATCCAATCTTACCTATACACAAAACACGTGAGAAGTACTGGTTTGATCCCTGTATTTTCTCTAGCTCAAACCCCAAAGCCAAGTTGTACTAACACAATGTAAGACTACATAATGAAAATAAACCAAGTGAAGGCATATTATATTTTTTAATTTTCATTACAAAGATTAAATAAGTAATGCTGCTCATATATAGCATTTCTGCTCCTTGCTGCGTGTACCTAGTGGTTATTCACATTCATATGGTGAGATGTGTCTCACAAACTACAGAATGAGTTCACGTCTTCTTTTTTCAGTTTCAGTGTTTAATACTTTCCAGCAAAGATAACTTAGCAATGAGCACACATCTTTCTACTGGCTGTCCCTTGGAAATGGGACCCTGAAAGAACCTACCGGGCTCTTTGCAGAAACCATTGCAAAGCTGAACTAGCACAGATGCAATTGCATGTCTATTTCACCTAACCTTCATGTGTTTTTAGAGAAAACATGGAAATCTTTGGTTAAGTTAGCCCTTTTTGAACAAACATAGTCTTTCATTTCCTTACCAAACATAGAAAACTTGGTGAAAGAATACAAAATCGAATCCTGTTTTTAGGTAACATTTAATTTCATTTTTATTGTATTTATTTTCAGAAAATATATTGAATAACAGTTGCAAAACAAGTAGATACTTTTGACATTTTCAACAGCAGCTGGATATTGAGGGTCTCAGATATAATTTTTTTTAAATCAACAAAAGCAACTGATTCAAAAATGTAACTTTTTTTACAAATTTTGAAATAACATATTTTCTTACATTTTCTGTAACAGGCGGTTCTGCTAATCTAACCTGCCGAGCTTTCTTTGGATATAGTGGAGATGTCAGTCCTTTAATCTACTGGATGAAAGGGGAGAAGTTTATTGAAGATTTGGATGATAGTCGAGTCTGGGAAAGTGACATCAGGTAAAAGAAAAAGCATTTTGTTTTTTCAGTCAGTATAATTTTTTTATAGTTAATGTAATACATGTTATCACAGACTAACTCAGGAACACTTTGGGTCTAATCCCTGTTTTTGCAACATCCATTCTTTACCTTTTCAACTCCACCAGTAGAAAACAGAAAAATGCATGCCTCGGCCAGATCTGATGTTAGAGAGCTGCAAAAGCAGAATAGCTGCCTGACAAGTACCACAGTGTAACTGACTGCAATTTGCATAGTGACTTTTTCAAACTGTGGCAATCTACAATAAGCACCATTAAGACAGTTACTAAGGTGAAATAAAGAAAAATAAATCCATCAAGGAAAACAGCTCAAAAGAAGTCTTTTAAAACATGGAGCCTTAAATGCTGAAGTCTGGCTCTTTTGGAATGTTTTGATTTCTTTTCATCAAGGAAAAACTGAGTTTCCTGGGATGTTATCTGGCCTGTGAGAGCCAAGTATCCTGTTATGTGAGCTGCTTATATCTGCTGAAATACTTGTTTTAGAGAGGATCTGGCAATTTGCATCATGTACTTTTAGTGCTCCTAGAAGTGCTGCCTCATTTGGAAATTAAGAAAAAAGTGGTTTTGTATTGTGAATTACATGCTTGACATAGTGCACCAACTCCTATCCAATATGAAGTATCTACTTGGATCTGAAGAGATCTGAAGATTCCTTTTTCATTTATAATTCTGTATATGTGTATATCACTGTGCCTATACATCATGGATGAACCCGGAAGCAAAGGCAAATCTAAATGTGCATTACAAAGGAAGCTAAATAATCACAGATGTGTTATCTACAGTGATTGTCTATAATAGAACAAAATGAGCTTATTTACACTTCGCCTCTTAGGAGTTTACCATCTCATCAAGAGACATGAAGGCACACTCATTTTCAGCTTAACCTTGGACTTCTTCAGTGTAGCCAAAGTGACAGAGACAATTCCTTTACCAAAATCAAGGTGGCCACATAGACATTCAAGGTTATCTCCATGTCCCAGATATAGGCAAAATGGAAGCATATTTCACCCCAGTGTAATTCAAGTTTATTCTGTAGATCTCAGGACTGATACACTAAATGTCACATGACAACCAGATCAGCTGTATTGCTCATCTAAAGCTTTTCCTAAGCCCTTCAGACAGAGACTTGGCATTCTGAAGGATGATAAAAAGGTGACAAGAACCTCCTAACAACTTTCTTGTTTTGTGGAGGGTGGAACAGGAAGGTTGGTTTCCAATTCTTCTGCCAGGTGTGATGAGAGGGAGCAGCCTAGAAAAGATTCTCATTTGCTTTGCTGGATTTCTAAAACCACTGATGGGCTTGCTAAGAGGTAAACAAAGCAATGCGAAGACAGGTAGAGTCTTATTCAGGAGGTCTTTTATTTATCATCTACATGAACGAACAGCATCTGGTATGCCAGTTCTTTCTACTGATTTATAATACACAGTCAAATTTTGTAAAACATTCGAGAAATAATTTTTGAGACCCTCGCATGAACACACTGTTTCTGAATGACATGTTGAAAATCCTCAGAAAGCGCACAAATACTGTGTTTGGCCCAGACTCCTAATGTGAACCTAAACTCCAAAATAACTGTTTTCACTTTTCTCTCTTCTAACATTTCAAGACTTCACATACTACTGATCAGGGTCTCCATCAGAGTGTGCAATAATATATCATCAGCATGCACATCATCCTGCTTAAAGAAGACAATTAACTGAAGCTCTCATTAACATTTACAAAGCCAGACCTCCTCATTAGAAGTGAGGAAGAAAAGGGCATGATATAATTTAATTAAGATTTCATCAAACCATAGCCAAATTTGAAACCACAGAGTTGTGAATTGTAAGTAGCATTACTATGTCATGATTATCTAATGCTCCGCTATGATACAAGCAGAATAGCAGTGATGATTGCTTTTTTCTTAGGGTTCTCAAGGAACATCTCGGGGAACAGGAGGTTTCCATCTCATTGATTCTTGACTCTGTGGAAGAGGCAGACCTGGGGAATTACTCATGCTATGTTGAGAATGGAAATGGACGCCGACATGCCAGTATTCTTCTACATAAAAGGGGTAAATATGCAGCTTTTCTCCATGAAATGGTACACTATAGGGGCGGTCAGTGTGTAGAGCTTCCTTCTGATGCAAGCATGAATTTTGGATTCCTGAGATAGTAATAGGCAATGATTATTTTTCCCCAGGTATTTGTACAACTTTCAAAATAAAACAGAAAAGTTGTTGTTAACTATGGCTGTCACTGGGAAAAATACACCTTTTAATTATATGTATATAAAAGACGCATTTAGTAATTCATGAACTTTAAAACTAATAAAGGCTCAATACAGAAAAAAAAATAATAGGAAGCCACAGGTAATACAACTGTAATAATTTCCTGTAAGAAATAAAATCAAATATTAGAAAAGCCAACAAAAACATATTCCACTTCTGTCAGAAATGCCACCTAAACCCCATGCCAGGGGAGTTCCTGCATAGCCTGACTATGAACATTTTCCTACTAACACATCTGTTTAACACCAACATTTCTGAAGTGAAGTATCATGACAGAAACTTCTAAGGACCTTCCTGTTTCTACTCACCACTTGCATCGCATGATTCCAGCCTGCCTAATGGCCACAGCCATCTCCCACAGAGATAATTACGGAGAGAAGGAGAATCTCTTGCAAAGCAAGGTTCCCAGATCCACTTTGTTCACTTTACCTCCCAGAGGGTGCTCCACATGTCTGGGCTTGACGTTCCCCACCCTCATGCAGCATCCTGCTGGTTTAAGAGAGCAAAGAATAATCAAGAGCAGTGTCTGTATTTTGCTGTCATTACTGTGCTTTTTTTAGACTGTTTGTAAAGGTGAGCAAACCAGATTCTTACTGTGGTGCTGAACTACTTGTGGCATCTCAATTTATATCAAAGCAGTGATGTTTTCCCTAGTTTTAGTCTTGTAGCATGCAAAGTCTGTCTAACTTTAAAAGGAAGCCATAAATCAAGATATTGTGACTCATTTATTTAAATGTATTTTTGTGTACCTCCAATTAATTGAATAGAACTAATTTGTAGCCATTTTTCTGAACCCTTGTCATTGCTTCTTAAGAGATACAGATGTAAATAACCAGATGTTCTGCTTAGCCTGGCATTTGTCATATTTTCTTGAATTTACTGAGATGGGAAATTAACTTATTAAGTAATTGAACCTCAACAATTTAACAGCTAGTAGTCATATACTCCTAATTCAGAGACATTTGAAGCCAGAGCAAGAGCTTAACCCAACAAACACTGAAGTCCAATGGTTTGTCTATAATAATGAAATCAGCGCATGGAACTCTGAAAACAAATAATTTTTAAGGCTTAAATTACTTTAAAACCAATACTAAATTAACTGATGTGTATTAAGTCACATGCTGATGGTGAGTCCTTATTTTCCCTTGCATACAAGCAGTAGCTCCAAGGCTGACAACACATAAGTCTTTTCTGTTCTGTGACCACCAGCTTTTTAATCTAACAGTGTGCATGCATAAATTTTGCAAGGGTCTACTGTCCTTGCTTCCTTTCTTGGAGAAATCAGTATGTCAAACACACCACAGCATGTGGTCTCATGATGACATGCTTAAGAGGAAGTAATCTCAATATTTAATTACCCTTATAAATAATAAAGAGCTAAAAATATCAAAAACTCCCCCAAATACTTTTTTCCTCTTTAAGTAAGGCTGAATCTGAAATTGTGATTTGGAAACAAAATCTGTTGTGCCCTCGAAAAACAAAAGGTACCTGTTACAAGCCTTCTACATACTTTGCATGTTGACAACTGTTTCAGTGAAATGATAAATTAACCATGACAGATAAAAATTTGAGTTAGTCTCTCAGGTCTCCTAGGAAGAGGAGCTTTGCACTGCTTGCTTAGTCTCCTGTACATCACCATGACAACATTTCATTTTAGGTTTCCTTGTTTAGATTCACATTTAGTCTCTGCTAGGAATGAGTTAGCTGTTTATTAATTTCTGATTATTGGCTCACTTAGAACAATTGGGACCTAACAATTAGGTAAATTTGCTTCCTGAACACAGAGGCATTTGCAGAGGTATTAGTTTTGGCTGCTTTTCTAGTTAGTGATCTTTTTTTCCAGCAGTATAAGCCAACGAAAATGCTGAATCTGGAATGTTCACTGAATACCTGAAAAAGAAATTATAATCCTTCTTAAACTTTGTATGTGGTACATTATCACCAGGATCAGAAGGGACAGGAAAGCAGAAACCTCTGTTATTGAACAAAGAGCATTCCTGGGAAAAGAGGTATTTAGGGCTAAATGCTGCAGTGGGGATTCATGTACAAAATTTAAGCCTTTCAAACACCGTTGCAATTGCTGCTTCTCCCTGGTCAATATATTCTCTGTAAACTTAAACTTCCAGAGGGAGCTTTTGGATATGCCTGCAATTACACAGGCCCTGGAAGGGGAAGAAATTCAGAGTCTAAATCACAAGCAAAAACCTGGATGCATCTTCCTCACTCTTCCCGATGGTCAGCCCAGCAGGGACACACACTCACCTCACAGAAAACACAAACAGGGCCCGTTTGATGGTGGTCCCCACCACAAAGCAGTGTCTGGCACATTCAGCCAGGGAGAGGGAGCTTGTGCTCATTCCCCTGATATGGCACTGGAACAGAAACCTGGAGCCTTCTGTTTCCCGAGGGGAATTTCAGGAGGGGAGCAGAACAGAGCTCCACTGGACTGCAGCACCACTTGTGCAGGAAAAGCAAACGCAGTTTGGGTGTCCATCACCGGGAGAAAGCTGGGGCCCCTGGTACCTCTCTCTAGCCCAGATGCCAGCGCTCTGCATCTCAGGGAGCTGAGCCACAATTTTCTCCTCAGCTTCTTATACTTTCTGACTCCCAGTGGAAAAAAAACTATGATATATGTTTTTGTGCAGCCAGCTAACCATTTTTGACTCTTAACTTTCCTCAGATGCTGTGTGTAGGGAGCATTTAACTCAGAGCTAAAGGCAGTAGAGCATTTTAAGCATGACAGTGCTGATGCTGTTTCATTTTCTGGTCCATTCCTACAAAATTTGTCCAAAAATAATCAGAAAAAGAGAGGGATCAGAACCCAGGAGATTTAACTTTCATTCCTTTCCTCCAGCTGTTGGCCAATCTCTTTCTATCACCTTTACAATAATCAAGTTATTTTCTCTTTTTTGTGAGAAAAAAAAATCTACTTGTTATAACCTAAGGCTGATTTTGTTACTTATTGGTGATAGCTATCATTGATCATCTGTAACAGTTACAGGTTAATCTTCAGCCAGGTACAGGAACCTTCTAGAAATTAATTTTGAGAGTGGTAGTGACAGCAGCTAAGCACAAATTTATTAATGACAGACCACATATTGCAGATGATGTAAGAGGTGGATCACATACTATAATTCTATTTTTTTCACAGGTTTTTAATTCAAGAAGAGAAGCCCATAGTCTATCAATGTAGCAGATAAAAATGTAATGCATACAGAGAAAGAATGCTCTTCTACAATGTTTGTATTGAAAAGTACGATTTTCATGCTGGATCAAAGCCATCGTAGTCTCATTTATTCATAGACTATGTTGGAAATACAGATTATTATCTAGTAATGTGATTATTTTTGTGGAAATTCTTGTCTGCATGTCTGCAACTAAAACTCTAAAGCAAAAATAATCTCAGATTCTATCTTGGCATTATTTTTTATGTTATTGATATCATTTTAAAAGCTTAATAATATACTTGTATTTTTCATGGGACAGACACAAGAAGTAAGTGCAGGTAATATATTTTATGCATTTTTTTCAAAGTATCTCCTTCCCTTTCTTCCCATTTTTCTCAGTGCTGTCTAATTTCCTGTCCTGGGCCTCTTTTATATTTTGGGTTTGTTTTTCTCTGTCATAGGTGTTCTCAATGGGCATATATGGGTCTTGTTGACTATAAGCTAATGAGGGATGGTTAAAACAACTTTTCTTCTGTTGGAACAAAAAAAGACTTTAACTGAAATAAATTGTTTAGAGGAAGAGATTTATTCTGTTTGAAATTGCCCATGAGAATATATGTTTGAAAAAGAAACAAGTTAATATTTTCTATAGGAAATGCATCTTGAGGAAACCTATGAATACGTAGGCATAATTTAAACTCATCATTTATTAATGTATAAACATCAAATTAATATTTCCTGTACAATTTAAAGGCAAATTCTGAATAGCAAGTAATTCTGAATTTTCTTCCTACAGTTATTAACGATAATGGAATTGTTGATGAGCACCTTAAATTACAATGTCATTCATATAAGAGTGTAAAACTGGTTTATTACTTAAGGACTTGAATAAGTTAAGTTTTTAATCTCATGAGCATTGTCAGTCACTAGGACATGATTTCACACAGTGGTAGTGATGAGTGACAATTAAGACTTAAAAGAGAAAATGAACTAGTTCTTTTCTAACCTCTGCAAACAAGCTGCAGGTATTATAGCTCCCTTTGCCATACAGCTTCACAACGCCTCTGAAATTTCTGAATGGGAGCTCTTCATGTGAAATATGAGAACAACAAGTTTTATATTTCAACTTCTGTTAATTGATCCTAATTACTTGAACATTCCAGCAAATCTCTGAGTCTCACTGGAAGCAAAACTGTTGTAAAACTATGACCCACTTTGTCAGTTAAGACCTTACACATGTGTGTCTTCCATTGTATAAAGCAATCAGTTTTTATTCAGCACTGCAAGGAAAGCTTTCCCGAGTTCTGCACCAGGTTTTAGAATTGGAATTGAAATTGGATTTGATTTGATGGGAATTGATTTTTCATTCCCCTATGGCCATTGAAGAAGCCTTCAGGTTGTCCCTGTGCTGGGCAGTGCAAAGGTTCAATTGCCCAAAAAGTTCATGACATAGGGCCAAAAGCTGAATATCACCTCCCTTCCTGTCCCAAATCTAACCAAAAGTGACTGTTCATTTTACACTGAATCTCATCTAAAATCAGTAAATTAGTAGAATACTAAAGACTACTGTCTGACAGAAACTCTTCATAAGACCATTTTCTTTATCAGTAAGGTTTT